ATGTTGAGATTCTATATTATACATGCATGTATACTGTACAATTTATCATGAATCTCTAAAACGCTAGTCAGCCTCGGGTTTGGGCACAAACAGAGGTGTCAAGATAAGGACAGGGAGAACATCCCCCTCCCCCCCCCCCCCCCCCCCCCCCATTACTCAGGTAGTAATACTAAACTCAAAGTAACCTGGGGTAATCTTGTTTGTTTTGTCACCATTCATGAAAATAACAGATAAGAATGTTAAAATGAAGTAATTCAGAAAAAGAGATATTAAACTGACAGATATTTTAAAATTTGAGACTCTGATTTTCAGTTTCATCTCAATTTTAATATTATAGCATTGTACTAGTGTGAACTCTTAGTTTCAGAAACTTTGTTTGCATTTTGGCAGGTTGAAGCACTGTTTCAGGACTGCTCCAAACTCTTGTTGGATATTGCTGTTCAGGTGCTCAGTAACAGTTTCCAATTACAAGAATAATCATGCATATTAACATTACAATCAACATTTCTGATGATTGTTTTGATATGTTTGTTTTCCTTTTGCTGGTATAACCTTTATATATATATATTTATATACATTTCAATTTTCTGTTTGCATATTTCTGTCAGTTTTTGGATATAAATTCTTGACTGTTGTGGTAGAGGATGAAAGGCATAGCTAGAATTTCTTTAATATTACAGAAATGTTTGGGTTCACAAGTATTCATAGACTGCAGAGTTTAGGATTTCAAATTTTTTACAGTCTGATACTTAATTTTAGCTGAGACAGCTACTTGTATAGCTTATCAGTAGTAAAACAGTGACAGTTTAACATTTTTGCAGTTCTACTGAAAGATGAGGTATACAGCCAAGTTATTCTGTCACATTGCTAACACATTCCTGAATGTGTACTGTCTGTTTATATGCAAATCGAACTGAGGAGGCTTTCTTTAAAGCCATGGCAATGCAATTGTTTGAAACCAAAATATTACATAATTCAGTATACCACCATGTTCCTTGTTGTGTAGTAAGCTGTAGTTTCTGTTAAAGCTAGGCGATAACCTGGCCATACAATGACACTGATGAGATGATGTCCACTGTGTAATGGAGTGAAGGAAACAATCTGAGTTACAAATACTAAACTCAGATTTGAAGGTCCGTAATTCTTACATTCCTTCTAATATATCCTGCTAAATATACTTAAATATACACATGCATGTATTTAATTGTATTTTACATTCAAATAACTTGATTCTTGAACAAGTAAGTTTCTCATTTCCATCTGTAGAACTTGAATCTACTTATTCCCTTCTCAGTGCCTGGATTTTCTTTTGTTAAAGGCAGAATACCTTTTTTTCCCCTCTAATATAATGAAATTGGAACTTCATTATCTTCCAAAGCACTGTGCTGTACTGCACTGTGGATGAATTTTGCTAGAAACTTAGTGAAGTGCATGCATCTTACCTGTGTAAGAATGGACTTAGTGGTCCTCTCGTAAGAAGTTACAGCGTCATTGTGACCAGTGCAAAGCTTTTAGTCTGATACATTAACTGTTAGATATCAAACCCATTTAAAGAAGGCAACCTTTGGAATATTTGTTTTCCCCCCATGATGTGATCAGGTGTTTAGGAAGGGTTATAGCAAAAGTCTTTTCATTGATGTCTTCTAATGGATTTTCTGAGTGGCTTATTTTGTCCTTAGTGTCTTAGGTGGAGTGTTCTTCTTGGATCTTGGTCAGAAAATTGTGTAATTTTAGAGTATAAGCAACATTCAAAGTCAAGCTGCTTACTTGTTACATGAAGAGAAAACAGATGGGAGCCCTGAAAAGCCTGTAAACTAGCAGATGGAAGCTGCCACACCCCCTGATTAATAGAATATTGCTGCTTTGGCTATACAAACATTTATTATGAAGAGAAGTATATTACACAGCTTCTGAAAACTCCAAAAAGCAGCCCTTTTCCTCAATTGTTGAACTTCATCAAATGAGTGCTTTTCTTTGCTTACGTGTATTCCTTTTGTGTGTTTTCCAGATAATTGAAGGCAGTCTGTACTATAGAGCCTTGCTTGTCTAACAGCAATAAGGCTTAATTTGCATTATTACACTTCTTGGGCTGAGGGTATAGGAAGATTATGGACTCAGATGAAATGCTTCAACTTTTTCTGGTTACGTGTAAAAGTGAGCAACCGCTGTGGCGCACACAATTTATTCAGTAAAACCTATGGATTCCCATATGTTCTGTACTGCTTTGAGAGTTCCTCCAGCATCTTTCAGTTCTGCTCTCTGTGGAGGCTGTAAGACCCATTCTCTTTGAATGTGTGGACAGCAAGTCTGATGAAATTTTCTCTTGTTTTGGTAAATTGAGAGCATTATTGTATGTATTTCTGTACTAGAGGGGAAGTGCATTGTGCAAGTGGAGTTCTTCAACTGAGAAATGACACTGGTGGGCATAGCAAATTCCTTTTTGTTATGGAGACAGTTGTGATGTGTGATAAACATGTATAATACAAATCCTTATCAAAGACTTCAAGGTAAGGGGAGCGATTTGCTGGAGCAATTTGTCCTTGTTATCACAGATTTCCCTCTTGGGGACTGCTGCCCTCTAATCTGTCTCCTCCTCATACGAAGCAATATTTAAAAGGACAAGCTCTCTTCTCAGAGATTCTCAAAATGAATTGTGTAGCATATATCTTAATGTTTCTGGTTGGCTGGTAGTGCTCTTTGGGAACCATGCACGCTCTATTCTCCCAGAACACAAGAAATTTCTTCCACCTGCTGCAGACCCATGCCAGTCATAGGAGAACTATTGTTGTGAAGTAACCCCACTGACCCCTGAGCACTGTGCTTTGTACTTCACTAGGAGGTCACATAAAAGGTTTGGGAGACCAGTAGTCAGTAATTGTATGAATGTTGCAGTTAAATGCCTTATTCCTGTCACCCTTAGCAGATAGAGCTTATCTGCAGCAGAATACGCTCATACCCTTACAGCAAAAGGGGAAGAAAATGGATATTTACCCACAGTATATTTTCATCTTTAAGCAACATTGTAGGTGGTCATATCATTTAGCCTCTATTTCTGCTTTTAGCTGTTCTTGCTACCATAGAATTTGATTTAGTGATTTGGAGATTCCTACTCACTCTGGTTTTAGTGCACGCATATGAGCTGTTGACAAGGTAAGGTAAAGAGCTTGAATGGTCTCTCATTTATTTGTTTAAATTTGGATTAAGTCTTTAAAGTGTAAACAACTTGCTGTTAAACTGCAATTCTTGAGATGTTTCAGGGGGATGTAGCTGAAGGTTTAAAAAAATTGAAGAGGAGAACTTCAAGTAATTTTTGTACTATTTCTTGGTGGAATACTTGAAATCCTTGTGTTGCGGTAACCTCCTTGCGTTCAAGAACCTTTGTTTATTCCAAAACAAATACTGAATTATTTTTCATGCTGTGTTACTGCTGTGGCAGTAGAGGCTGTTTCTTGAAAAAAGGCTATAACCCCCTGGACTTTAAAAAGTACATTGTAACTGGGGACTCAAGGTGTAGTAGTAGTTAAAAAACCAGCACATTTTTGCTTGCGGGATCCTGATAAAGCCAGGGTCTTTATTTCTTCTCTGCATTTGGGCAAGAGGGTCTTCACTCACACTGGGGAGATATGTAATCCAGGTTCTAAAGTCACATATAATCCAGGTTTTAAAGGCACAATTAGAAACGGATACTGTAGGCAGCCAGGACGTGGCAGAGATAGAAGCAACATGTTTTGTCACTTAAAATAATTACTGGCTTTGTCCTCTGAAGAGAAATTAAAATCTAAAAAAAATTACAGTATTACAGGTATTTGTTGGAACCCAATGAAGGGAGGCAGTTTGATTTCTTTTAGTTTCTTGTGCAGGAAGACGTACAATGCTTTGCCACACATTCCCTTTGGTACAGAGTCACTAAATGGAATCACGTGGATCTGCTTATAGCTGAGTACTTGTATAAACATTAGACTAAATATTGTTACTTGCCTTTATTGCTTGAAGAGAAACCTTCTTGCTCCATATTCTAATTCTGCATGCACTGTGTAATTCAGTGTTTTTAGTAAATATCAAAAAAGCTAGAGACACTGTCAATGTTCAGAAAAATACTCTCTGTACTAAATTTAAAGAGAGATCAAATAAACTTCATCTCTAGCTGTTTGAAGTAGCGAGACTGAATTCTAATTCTTACAAACATTTGAAGTTGATTTGTTTTGTTTTTTAAACATTGAATGAAAGCTTAGATATATTTATTACTTTAGGACATTTTTTGCTCTGTACAAGCAGTATAATATTGGTGCATAAGTCAGATATTCGAGCTGGATGATCCAATTCAAATAATTTCTACAGTCTGTATTGGCCTAACCTCTATGACATCTGTGTAGCATTTTCTGTGTGCAGTGTCTCAAAGGGCTGTGGGCTGTGCATGAGGTCTGTTCGTCCTCCAACAACTCTAGTAAATAAAATAGCCATTAAGCATACACATACTGCATTCTCTGCATTGAAGTCTAAAAAATGGTGATACATGGTATCTTATTTTGTGAAATTAAAATTAATAAAAATACAATTGTCACATTTATGACTTAAAATAGTTGCTATTCTGCTTAACTAGTGAGATGTTGCACAGTAGCTTGATTTCTGAGATAGATGTTGATGTTTTTTATTCTTTTCTGGGAACCAAGAATAACTTACTATCTGCAGCAGCACGTTGCTATCAGGCAATCTGCTTAAGTTTCCTGTGATGATCTGTACAGCATCAGCAACATGAGTGCCACTGCTGCCCAGTTTTAATTTACCACAGACAGGGGGAAGAATCAATGTGGTGGGTTTTTTTTCTTTCTTTTCTTTCTTTTTATTTTTTTTTTTACTTTTTTTTTACTTTTTTTTTTAATTTCCCTTCTCTCTCCCCACCCCCCCAACTGTGTCTGACTTGCCTGACAGGAAATTTTCTAATTGCCGGAACAGCTGGTCACAGCAAAAACGCCAGGGTTGGTCTTCCCTGTTAGACTTACGATCGCTCAGTCAGAAAATCTAAACATCATGATATCTTAGTCATGTTTAAGTTTCTGGCTCTACGTGCTCGTTCTGTTCGGGTGAGCTTAGTTTCTTATTTAAAAGAATAAGGGGGAAAAGGGGAAATTTTAATTAAGCTTCTAATTTCAAGGCAGTTGTAGCCTTTCACTGCTTTGGAATCAGTACTGTTTGAATACAAAACCTTTTGTATTTTCTTAAAAGAAGGCTTGTGTTGTGCTCGTATTTTGTAGATGTTTTTGGGGTACCTATTGATTATTTAGCCTTGTTGGGAATTGCTTACCTGTATGTAAATACTGTAAAACTTACTTTGTTTTTTTCCTCCAGAAATGTATGAGCTTAGCTGTACGTTAAATTTTCCCACTGAGTCTAGTTTCATTAAAAATGTTTAAATTTTTAAGAGTAATACTTAGTGGTTATTTTAATAGTTACATTTTCATATAGTGCTTTAAAATGTAAAATGTGGTTATGTGTGAAGTGACAGTTAAAATACTTCAAGCTTATTAATATCTTAAATTTACTCCTGAAAATGGTGCTAGGAATAGTTGACACCCTTGCTTGCTAATGTTGTTATTTCAGCTTTTAAATGATAATTTAATCATAGCAGACTTTTAATTTGTATAATTTGTTTTGTTGTTGAGCATAGATTTAAACATAAAAGGGTTTTCTGAAGTTGAAAAAAACTCTGTTGGAGAACTGTGTTATCCTGAGCACTGTTTGTGAACTGTTTAACAATACATGTAAACATGCAATGTGATAAAGCATTAGATTGTTAAAACTCAAATCACTTTTTGTGTTTCCCCTCCTGGGGAAATACCCCTTCTGGTGTATTGTCTTAACATCTTAAGTGAAGCAGGTCTGTTAATTGTAAAGAAAGGCATAGTAATGTAACGCATACTAGCCTATGGACTGGTTTAAACTTTGCAATATGTGGTAGAAAATGAAGTTTAATTTATTTGCCGTAACTGAAACACTAAACCAAGACATCTATGTAAAACAATAGAACATAGTCTGCATTAAATACAGGTTTTTTAATGTGAACCTTGTAAAATAAACATTTATCAACTCACAGTGCTGAATTCTTTTCCACAGGCAACATGAAAGGTATATCTTAGAAGTTTCTGATTAAAAAAACCATAAAAGATATATTGTTTTATCTACCTATAGTAGCTTGATTATATTAACATTCTGTTGATTTTAAAATGCTAGAGAGTACAGACCAAGCTAAGGGTTTTCACCTGTATAAAACTTATGAGTATGTTTAGGCTATTACCTCAATAAAACAGGAATCATAGCTTTCATAGTTAAGTGCTGATTATGTTCATGGATTTAAAAAAAAATATTTTTTCTAAATTGCAATGCTCTGAAATGCTAGTGCTTACAAAGCAGGAACAAAACTCATATCTAAGTTACTGGGAAATGAAAGTTCCACCCAGTGAGTATTTTTTTCCAATGCTGACGTGCAGTTTAGTTCATGAGATAATTCTGTTGTGTTTGATCAAAAGAGAACTGCGTTACAAATCTGCTTTGGGTGACCAACATTGAGCTTTTAAAATGGTTACAGAAATTCCTCAGCTTTTCCTGCTAAACAGCCTCCTGCTCACAGTTCTTTATAGAGTCCTACTTCTGCCTGAGCCTTTGTATGTTCATTCTGAGGTGGGAAAGCACCTTCAGAATTGTCCTCCCAGTCTCTCCAGCTATGTTTATCCAAAGGGACTCATCCATCCTTTGACTTGTTGCTCTGGGACAGGACTCACTCTCCAAACTACTATCTTGCTTCATCTGTTAACACCAAAAGAACGGGAGCATTTTGGTCGTGCTAACCAGGTCTGCGGTCTTCATTATGTGAGTTGGCTACCTGGAAGAAATGGGGACATAGACATCCTTCTAGATCTTAAAACTGTTG